GAGTACCAGCTCTCGGGTGGTGCTGCCACCAAGGCTACCCAGGTCCCCTGCTGCGGTCAGCACAATGTCCCCAGCCATCCCTGCCACGAGGCGCTGGGCACTTTTGGTGTGCTCCTAGGAGGCTGAAGCCAAGAGGTGCTCCTAGTCATCATCCCAGGCATCTTCTAGCCTTCCCCAGCTCTGGGCTGTGGCTGTGGAGTTGCCTGTGGGATATTTCTGAGCTGGTCCCTTTTGGGCAGGCGTGATGGGTTTCTCCTCTCTCTGCAGGAGGGAGGGTGTCCAGCTCTCTTTGGCCTCCACTGGTGCCGGCCCGGCTCCCCGGCGGGGCAGGCGCATTGCTTCCAAAGTGAAGCACTTCGCCTTCGACCGCAAGAAACGCTACTACGGGCTGGGGGTGGTGGGGAAGTGCCTGAACAGGACGTACCGCCGCAGCCTGAGCAGCATCGTGCAGTCACAGCTGGAGATCACCGACAGCCACCGGTGAGGGGGGGACTGATGGGCTGGGGATGGGCGTGAGGCTCCTTGGGGCTCCCCAGCTGTAACTCAGATGTGTGTCCCCCTTGATGCTTGGGGATCAGGGCTTGAGGGACTGCGGCGTCCCTTTGCCCAGCCACCCTTGAGCTGCTCAAATTTTGGGTCCTTTCCTCTGCAGGCCCTATTTCACATACTGGATCACCTTTGTCCACATCCTCATCACCTTGCTGGTCATCAGCACCTACGGCATCGCCCCCATCGGCTTCGCCCAGCACGTGACGACAGAGTTAGTAAGTTTAAGAGCTACTGACCAGGGCCATCCCCTGCCAGCTCTCCGGTGACATGTGTGGCTCTGAAATGGCAGCTGGCTAGCTGCCGAGGAAAGCCAGGCTGGTGTCTGGGAGGTGCCCTCAACACCTGGGAGGGGTGATCCTCCCTCTAGGGTTAGTCCTGGGAACCTGCAGCCAGCCGCATTGCTGCCCTGGCACCTGGGCTGGAGAGAAGAGCAGGCATCCATCTTCCTAGGGGGACCGTGACCACCAGCGTCCCGTGCTGTTGTGCTTCCTGCTAGGGCTGGGAGCATCTTGGGGTGCTGCTGGCTCCTGCTGTTTGAGAGGCTCCATTAGTCCTCAGCGCAAGAACTACATGGACCTGTTGGAGCGAGTCCAGAGAAGGGCCACAAAAATGATCAGGGGGCTGGAGCACCCCTCCTGTGAGGACAGGCTGAGAGAGTTGGGGTTATTCAGCCTGGAGAAGAGAGAAGAACTAAAAGAGGGCAGATTTAGACTAGATAATAAGGAAGAAACTTTTTACAATGAGGGTGGTGAGACACTGGCACAGGCTGCCCAGAGACGTGGTCGGTACCCCATCCCTGGGAACGTTCGAGGTGAGGTTGGACGGGGCTCTGAGCAACTTGATCGAGCTAAAGATGTCCCTGCTCACTGCAGGGGGGGTTGGACTAGCTGGCCTTTAAAGTACCTTCCAGCCCAAACCGTTCTGTGATTAAATAGCCAGGGCAGAGGGTCCGTGTGTGCTGGACGAGCAGCAGCGTGTTGCGGCGTCCTGCGTGCTGGCAGCAGAGCTGCTCTCCCTCCCACATTGCTGGTGGGATGCAGCAGCCCTTCCCCTCGGATGAAGGGGGCTGCTCAGCCCCCCATGAGCAGAGGGAGAGCAGGCTGCACTCCCACACCGCCAGCCCCCTCGGCAGGAGCTGACCCTGGCCTGGCTCGGCAGGTGCTGAGGAACAAGGGCGTCTACGAGAGCGTCAAGTACATCCAGCAGGAGAACTTCTGGATCGGGCCCAGTTCGGTAAGGGCTCTGCCACAGCACTGCCCCTCTGCCCTCCACCAGCCTCTGCTCCCCCTGCCCCGGCCGAGGGGGGTCCCTGGGGTGCTCCTCTTCCCCAGGGGAGAGCTCAACCCCTCATCCCAGCCTGCTGCCCTGGACCCTCAGTGTCCCCATCCCTCTGAGACCTGCTGCTCAGTCCCAGCCTGGGCTGGGGGCTCAGCAGCGCTTTCCAGAGCTGTGGCATCATGGTGGGATGGTCAGAAGAGACTTCCTCCCCTTCCTGCCCACCTTCCCCCCGCTGGGGTAACGGAGACTCAGGGCTATTGCCTGTGGGGTCCTCCTGGCCCTGCTGAGATATCTCCAGGGGCAGTTAGTGGGAGGGGAGGTGCCGGGGGGGCCATGGAGCATCCCCTGGACTGGCATCTCCCTCCCAGATCGACCTGATCCACCTGGGAGCCAAGTTCTCCCCCTGCATCCGGAAGGATCAGCAGGTGGAGCGACTCATCCAGCGTGAGCGGGACCGGGAGCGCGGCTCCTGTCCAGAACGACAACTCGGGCTGCATCCAGACCCTGCCGCAGGACTGTTCGGTGCGTGCCGCCGGCACCGGCACCGGGAAGTGCTGGGGGTCCCTGGGGAGAAGGGGGAAACCATGTCCCCCCTGCACAGCGCCAGGGCAGGATGTGCGTGGGGTCAGAGCGGTGTGTGTGCTGCCGCGTCCTCAATCGCTTCGTCCTCCCCAGGAGACGCTGGCGACGTTCATCAAGTGGCCGGGTACCAACGCGCCGGCCATGGGCTTGGGTGAGAAGCGGACGTCGGGGGCTGTGTGCCACCAGGACCCCAGGTAGGAGTGACGGGTGGGGAGAGGGGGTGCAGTCACCCGGCTGTAAGCAGGGCACGCCGGAGGTGCTGCCTAGGGCTGCGTTTCCAGCTTGGATGCCTTGAATTCGCTTGTCCGAGGGGCTGGAGGGCTCTTAGACACCCTAGGAGGGTGATAAGGAAGAGGGAATCAGTGGGGGAACTGAGGTGGGGTCCTGCCTAAACATAGGCAGCAATGGGCGACACCGTTGTCTTGTGCTGGCCCCCTGCTCTGCTGGGGTGGGTGATGCTGTGACAGGGTGTCGATGGGGATGTCTGACAGATGTGAGTGCCGTGGGGTTCAGCTGCGGAGGGTGCTGCTGGGGGGTGTTGTAGGACACCAAGGTGCAGGATCC